TTAGTCTCTTCTGCAGCTTCTCTTCCTGCTCAGCTCCACCCTCCCTTGGGTGGGGCAGGGAACCTCCCCCTTTCCTGGGGACCACCCTGCTGCAGGAGGGGGCAGGGATTCGCCCGGTGGCCCCAGCTGGAGGTGCAGCGGGACCTCACAGAAGGTAGACAGAGGTAGCTCTGGGGGTGGACAGGGCTAGTAGCTTCCTGACCTGTGTCCTTGGGACGTAGGATATTTCTCCAGGTACTGAACCCCCTTCTTGTTTCCGGAGGAGTCTCTTGTCTGTTGAATTCGGGGTCATGTGAGGACTCACTCACCCTTTTATCTGCTTGTAAAGAGTCGGTTCCTTGACATTTGGAAAAAGGCCTCCGTTGAGGGATCACGTCCTGGAGCCAGGGAGGGCTGACTCTTGGCTGCCGTGTATCTGTTGCTTTTTATTTATCCTCATGATGGATTTTGTTGCTAGAAAATCCTCCCACTCAGCCATTGCCATGTTTGCCTTCATTTTTACCATGTTACCCTTCCCTTTTTGGTCGATTTGTAAGTGTTGGATTAGTTGACTCTGGCTTCTCCAAAGAAACAGCATCAGGATGGATTTATATCCATTTCCCTCCAGCTTTGCGATGTTTCCCATGATTAGCTCTTGGGTTTGAAAAAATGTGTTTCTACTCCTCGTGTCAATGTGGAGGTTGAATCCTTTGTGTTCTCTGACTACAGATTATCCAGTGGTAGAACCAGCCTCGGCAGCTTCCTGAAGTTGGATGCCCCGAGGTTTTTATGTCACACCGTCCTATTTCTAACTCATAATGGCTGGATTGACTCAAAAACTCATTTTCTTGATTTTTGGCTCTGTGGGAATGTGGCCTCTCCACCGCTTTCCCAAGCTTTCTGGAAGCCTTGGCTGCGGCCTGCCTGGATCACGACATGTGTGTGTGTGTGTGTGTGACATGGACATTTGAGGGTGATTTTCCATTTGTAGCATCCCAAAGTTGGCTTATGACACTGCGCACGCCTTATTTTGGCCCGCCCCTGTCCCAAGCCCATGAAGGTAATGGGGAAAACCTGCGAGGATGAGTCTATTTTTCTAATTTTTGCTCTCTGAGCTCAGCAGCTGTGACTGGACATGGAAATAGAGCGTCGCTCTGCCGAGAATATGGGATTCACGCAAGAAATCCCAAATAAATGGTGAAAGTGAGACCCTTCATGTCACTTGACTAGGATTCCAAGGCCTTTTAATGCTATGCTAGAGAAATGAAGACAAGCAGGTTTGAAATGGGGGGGTCTCTCCCCATCGTGCTCCTGGGGTGCAGTCACTCCAACAAAAAGGGGCATCTAAAGGGAAAGGACACAAATCTGAATAGGGTCACTGTATCCGCGTGGCATAGCGTCCTGTCCCACCCCACCCCGCCCCTTCCCGTCCCGTCTTGGCGTCCTGCCCCCGTGTCCTGTAGCTCCCCACCGCACCCTGCCCCGCCCTGTCGCGTCGCGTCCCGTTGAACCCTGCCATGCCCCGTCCAGTCTGGCTGTGCCCAGTCTGGCTGTGCCCCGCAGTGTCGCTTCCTGGGACCCAAGCGGCCGCGTGTAGGTTCCCCCAGGAACCGACACACCTAGCCACCTGTGCCCCGGACTCCGGCCGCCCACATCCCACTCCCTCAGGGGCGTCTCCTGCCATCCAGGAAGGAAGGGGCAAAGCACCCCGGAGCTGCAGCAGGAGGATGGGGCCATTCCTAGCGAGCAGCCCTGCCAGGGGCGAGTGGGCTGCGGGCCTGACTGAAGGCAAGCACTCACGCACCAGGGTGGATCCTTGTTTCCTCATGGGCACCTGGGCACAGGCTTCCCTCACACTGAGCAGGTTACCCACCCCCCAGCTTCTGGGGCTCCAGGGTTTAACAGCCAACTCACAAGAGCAGCGGGTGTCCCAGCGTAGACCTCAGGCTCCGCCCGCGGTCCAGAGCACTCCAGGCATGCTGCAGGAGGCCTTGATGCCCCAGCCAGATAAGACACTGGCAAGCAGTGAAGCCCAAAGGGCCTCACACTGTGGGGCCGAAGCCAAAGGGCCTCACACCGTGGGGCTGAAGATTCCTTGTGCCTCACACCGTGAGGTTGAAGATCTAACATTCCTTCACTTTTTGTTCTTGGTCATAAATAAGAAAAAATTTCCCAAAAAGGTACATTAGGCACTATATTATATGCATCAGTATATTGCAAATAAACGGCATGGAAAATTAGAAATTAATTATTAAACGATTTGGCCTACTTGACAATGGAAGACAACTTATTGAGCATGCCTGACAAGCATTACAATACAATAATCATAGTAGGTCCTTCTATTTTGTTTTCTCTTGAAGTTTCTTGGGAAAGTTTTTAATATGAAGCTATTTGAGTTAAGGAATTTCTAGGTAGAAAAAGTTCTGATAGCTGAACTGCAGCTGGTCTCCGGCTGAAGGTCATGTGAATAGAATAGTCCTTTGATGCTTAGGCTTTAGCTGATAGGGATGCACTGGCGGTTATTCACTGTTTTAAATAATTGTCTGAATGAAAAAATAAGTAGCTTTAATGTTAGGTTTGGTTTATTATCTGTTAACCTTGAGAGCTGCCATCTAGCTGAGACCTGTAGGGGCCAGTAGTCTATGGGAAACATAATATACTAATTGTTTATGCTTTACACTTGATAATGTATTTTCTTATTATTATTACTAATAATGAATAAATAAAGACCTGCTGGGTCTCTCGGCAGAAGATACTAACACCTCACCAAGTGTCGGTGTCTATTCATTCCCTCCCCTCAGCCCTTAAGTTTTCAGTTCTTTCGTTTTCGCCTAGGCCGTCTCATCCTTTCAGGAACCCCTGACAAGACGTTTTGTCGGAGGCTGGTCCCCGGCACAGGCACACATGCACCTTGGCCATAACACAGACAAGTCCAGGGCCCACCTCCTGCCAAGTGTGGTGGGGCACCTTGCCAACAGGGGGTACAGCCACAGCCCCCTGGTAGCATAGGCACAGGCAGCAACCCGCAACCACATGTTGCTCTTTGGAGTGAGGCATCAGGACAGGGGGAACCTAGGGAGTCAGGCCCCCTCAACAGGAACACATGAGGAAAACAGGCCCCAAGCCACTGGGGCAACGCCACGGAGGCCACAGGCAGGAGCTCAGAGGCATGGAAGCCCCCCCCTCCAACCCCAGATAGCCCAAGCCCCCATCTCTTCCTAGCCCTGCTACACCTCAGTCAGCCTAGGGAACAGCCCCCCAAACCATGGGCTTGGGTACGAGGCCTGGCCTCACCACAGCTCGGGGCTCAGGGGAGCCAGTTCTGCACCTGCATTTGTGCTTGAGAACACCATGTAGCCCCACAGGGGCCACCGCAGACAGCACACCCTCTTAAGAGGGGTGGTGGTATGGGCTGCAGCTCAGGTCCCAGCAGCTTAGGAGAACATGAGGCCCCTTTGCTCTATTCCAGGCAGGAGCCCATGGCTCACTTAGTATTGACCAGGGGCCCCACATATGGGACACAGTGTAGGCACAACCCACTGCACCCGCAACCAGGTCTTGGGGAGCCTGCAGGCAACATGGAGAGCTGCCCTGTAAGCACCCGCCCCCAGTGCTGCTCCCAGACCAAAGCACTCACCCACAGCCCCCGTGGCCTCTCAGAGCCACCTGGACCACGCTTGCCGCGGTGCTTGTTCCCCACTTGCCAGGAGTCCATCTGCCCCGGCAGTCTCACCCCACTGATGAGCAGAGGCAACCCCCACAGGGAGCACACAGGCATAGCAGAGTCAGCCCAGCCCACACCATTGCTTGGGGTTAGGGTTATCATAGCAAGTAAAAAGGGCACTTTCTAAGGTGCCATAGGAGATGCAAGGGCCTGCAGAGAGGAGCCACCACCCCTCAGAGCTCACCACTGACAGACCATGGCCATGGCCCCCAGCCCCCCTCAACATGGGCAAGGCACCCCTGCCACCACTGCAATGGGGCTGAAGCTAAACACTCTTCCAGGGGCAGTCCAGTAAGGGCAGCACAACCCTGGGGCACACAGCACCAGGGGACAGAGCCACTGAGCTGGATGGGGCCAAGCCCTGGCATCAGCCCTCCATGACTCCAGGTGCCCTCTCGTGGAGGCTTCAGCAACACCAGCCCTGCAGGCACAAGCAAGGGCTCCCACAGCCACCCCCATGGTTGGCCAGCCTCTAAAGGCAGCTGGAGCCTGAAGCTGCCCCAGCACCTCTGGGGCATTGCCTGTCATGGCCCTCCACTGTCTTGAGAGCCGGAATCCCATGTCCAGGCTGCAGCACTCACAGGGGGCAAGATGCCACCCCAGGGGCCTTGTATACAGGGCTCAGCCAGCACTTGATGTGCATCAGGGAAGAGGAACAGCCATCTGGGGGCTCAGAGCTTTCTCTTCCTCTTTACCTAACAGCCCCCACTATGTGACAGCAGCACTGACCCATGCACACAAGGCAGGGCTCAGCGCACAGCCAACTGCTTGGACAAGAGCCTTTGGCAGTTCAAGCACCCCCACTGCCCACCCAAACTCAGGGAGGCTGCAAACCTCAGTGATGGGGGCAGTGACCCATCAGGCAACACAACACTCAGTCACCATGAGCTGGATTTCCACCTGCCCACCAGGGGCACCTCCCCTATAGGGCCCAGTGGAGGGCTCCACTCTACAACCAGCCACACAGGACCCTAAGGGCCCCAGCTCCTGGGGCAAGCAGTACCATGTGGGAGATGGGTGCTGCTGGCCACCACCCAGAACTCCAGGCCTCTGACACTTGCAGGCAACACAGGTTCAGCCAACCCCAGGCCCCCATGGACCTCCAGTTACCACCTTTGCTGGATCTACTGTGACACTATAGCCCCCATGGGGCTGTGGTGGCCTGGGCACTGCCCACAGGCAGGCACTCCTGGAGCCCCACCAGCACCAGCTGCCCCCACAGGCCTCTCTTGCACACTGGAGCTGGCAACATGGGGCTCCTCCTTTCTCTGGCATCTCCTGCTCCAGCAGCACCACACAAAGGCTGCCCTCTAGCCCAAAAACAGCCCCATGGGTCCAGGTGGCTCAACACACTGGCTCTTTCCAAAGTGAGGGCTCCAGGTAGCATGACACCCCACTGAGGGTGTATCCAGCAGCCACACCAACCATGAGCTGCCCAGCTAGCAGCCACAGGTACCCACAGCCTGAGGGCCAAAAAGACTGACCCCAAGCACAAGACTTACCTCAGGTCCCCCTACAGCTTGAGTGCTCGGTGAACATCAGTTGTAGAACACAAGGGCCCTCTTCATTGCATCCCAGGTGGCTAGTTGCCTTGGGAGGGAGCCCAGAGACCCTGGCACAGTGTAAGCCAAGAGCCAGGTAGTGGCCAGGGCAGCACAGAGTATGGCCAGAGAAGACCAAGACAAGAAAGGCCACAGAGGCCCGGAGGGCCCAACTCTGAGGCTGTATATGCACAGGGGGGTCAGCTCATGACATTGGCAACTGTATGACTGACCCTCCAGGAGGGGAGGGCAAGCTCCCTGAGGAGCCACACCACTGAGGTGTGCAGCTGTGGACACTCCATCAACCCCAACTTGGTCTGAGGCCAGCACCACAGCAGGCAGGGCCACAGGGACACAAGGCCAGGGCAGCACCCGCTGCTCCTTTCAGGGCATCAGAACAGCGAGGCACACTGGGGGCCAGGCCCTGTAGACAAGCAAACAGGAGCACAGAAGAGGAGCAAGTCCTGAGCCATTGGGGCACACAGTAGAGGCCACAGGCAGGGGCTGAGGGCCCTGGAGCACACAGAGGCATAGCCCCAGAAAACATGCACCCGCCAGGACACCCGCCTCCTCCCAGCCCCAGTGCTCCACATTCACAGCATGGGGAGCAGCCACCAACAAGGGTGTTGGCGCAAGGTCTGACCCAGCAGCAGCCTCAGGCCGGAGGCATTTTCCCTACAAGTCCGTTTTTGCTTGAGCCCGCCTTGTGGGCACAGGGTTCCACATCTGACAAGGCGCCCCTCAAAGGAAGGGCTGGTGCAGGCCCCAGGGCTCACCATAGCAGTTGGGGGGCTAAGTGTTATCCTAGTCTTGAAACAAGACTTCCAACCCCACTGGGAGTGCCCCCCTCACCAGCTCGAGGTGTGGGGTGCGTTGTGGGGTGCGCACCACTACCCTGATCAGGTTTTGGGAACGTGCAGGAAACTCACAGCCCTGCCGCAGCACCCCCAGCTACTCCAAGATGGAGACGCTTATTGCAGACTCCGCGGCTTCTCAGAGGCTGAGCACCGGTCTGGCCATGGCGCCTGTTGCCCGCTTGGCACACTCACCCCGCCTTTGGGCAGCGGCAGCACCCGCCGGGAGACCGTGTGTGGCAGCCGGCTGTGCTTCCACCGTGGGCGGGTGCTGCTGCGGCGCGCGGTGCGGAGCTCTGAGACACCATAGCGAGGGCGCGGGTTTGCGGAGACGCCGGAAAACGGACACCGGCGAGGGCACGCGCGGGGTTCCGCCCCAAGAGAGCAGCCGCTGATACTCTGGCGGCAAAAAGCGCCGATTTGGGGCCAGAAAAACCTCAGCGCCCAGGGGCGGGCCGAGCCCGCGAGCCCCTGGAGCTGCGGCCCGAACCCCGGCCCCTTTGCCCCGCGCGACCCCTTTGCCGCCTCCCCGCACGACCGCTTTGCCACCTCCCCGGTGTGCGCGGGGGCTTCTGGTCGACCTCGGGCCAGAGGAGGAGCCGGGGCCCCGCGGCGGGGCCGTCCAGCCTCGGCCATCTTGGGGGCCTCTCCGCACTTGGGGCGCTGCCGGCCCGGCTCCCCCCGCGGCCCTCCCCCAGGGCGGCTTCGGCCCAACCCCGCCGGAGACCCGAGTCCTGAGACTCCGGGATCCTGGGATCCGGCCCCGGGCCCCTGGCTTCAGCCCACGCGCCGGCCCCGATTCGCGGCCCCGGCTCCGGTCTTTCCTCGGGTTCGGCGCGAAGCTCGCACCTCGCGGGTCCCGCCCGCCCCCGCCCGCGACCCCGGCGCCCGCCCCCCGCGACAGCGCCCGCCCCAGCTCCCCGGCCGGCTGCGACGAGTTCGCGGGGGGCTCGGCCCCCGCCCCCCATCACTCGCGGATGCTGTGCAGGCTCGGGCTCCAGACACCCCAGGCTCGCGGCTCGCGGCCTCGTCCCCGTTCAGGAGCCGCCCCCACCCGCAGCACTCGGCCCCCAGCCCCCGGCCCGACCCTAGGGTCACGGACCCCGCTTGATTCGCGGCCCCCGACCCCGCGGCTCCTGCGGGAGACTTGGGTGAACAGCGGCGGCATCTCCGACCTCCGGGCGCGGCAGCGGGGCTGGACCCCGGTGGTCCCTCACACCCCCGGGGCTCCCTCCCCCGGGACGGTACGCGGCAGTCGGGCCGACGGAGATGCAGCCCCGGGCGCGGGACAGCCGCTGCCTCCCCCGGGACCCTCCCGCAGAGGTGCGCCCCGCGCTGTGCAGGTCCCGGTGGCCTGCGGGAGGAGGCGCTGCCCCCGCGGAGAGCTGGTCGACCCGCGCTGCGCGCAGCCCCGGCGAGCTCGCTGCCTGGCCTTGCACAGCTGCGCTCACAATCCCCCGGCGTCGGACGCCTCGCGCGCAGCCCGCCCGACCGGCCCGTCCCGCCCGCGCGCCCCGCCTCCCGGAACCGCGCGCCGGGCGCCGCCGCCAAATCCACCCCCTGCGGGTGGGCGTGGGGGGTGGGCAGGCGCCGTCTACGCGGCCGTCAGGGGCGCCCACGCCCCCACTCCAGCCCGGCTCCGCCTCGCGCGCGGCTCTAGCTGGTCCCAGCGGCCGCGCTCCCGGGGAGACGCCGAGACCGGGCGGCCGAGGCGAGGCGGTGGGGTCGGCGCGCACCAGCACGAGCCACGTGAGGACGCAGGACACGACCCAATGGCCTCGGACCTGGGAAGCGGGGGCGGAGGCGGCGGGGAGTCCCTCCCCGTCGGCAGGAATTGGGGAGCGGGTGTCTGGCGCCCGCCTGGGGGCTGGGGGCGGCCCCGAGGTCAGGCTTCTTGCTGGGCGGCCGCCGGCGGTGGCCTCGGGCCCTCCCCTGGGGTCGCTCCGCCTGCGCGGCCACCTTTGCGCGCGCGCCTCTGGGGACAGGGCCGCCCTCCGCGCCCGCCGGTGTCCTCAAGGCTCGGCTCAGCTGGGGGTACCAGGACCCTCCTCTGACGCCGAGCCTCGCAGCTGCGCTCACGGTCCTGGGGAGGCTCCCTGGCGGGGCGGCTCCTTGGGGCCCTCCCAGCCGGCTACTGTGTGCCAGTGGCCGGGCGCAGGAAAGAACCGCAACGCTTGCCTTCTGACTTGGAGGGCCCCCAGGGCTAGTGCTGTGGATGCTCACCTGCATCCTTTCACCCCAGGACTTATTCTTCCTGAGGGCCCACTGTGTGCTGAAGCCCGGGTGACATCCAGAGTACAGGGGAGATTCAGGCCCTGGGCACCAGGGCCAGGCCAGGGCTTTCCCCACTTACTCATTTCCCCTGATGTTTTCTGAGGACCTACTGTGTGCCAGGGCCAGTGCAGGTGATGTTAGAACGGAAGCAAAAAGTCCAACAGTCCCTGGTTCCTTGGCTGAGCTGAGCTGAGTGGCCTCCCGGTCTGGACTCTCCTCCTCCAGATATACACCCGCAGATCCCTGGTGCTTAACTTATTTTCAATAAATCATGTTTTTCAAACTTTTAGGGGTGGAACAAGGGAACCTGAATATGGATTGTACAGGGATAAGAAGAGATTCATTCTGTTGGGATGACGTTGCGGTTGTTTAGGAGATGATTTTGGTTAGACACGCAAGCAAAGGTATTTACCACCGAAGCGAGGTCAGATCTTATAATTTATTTCAAAATAAATTTGGAAACATATTTCCATGACCTATTTTAAAATCATTTATCTGTTATAAAGCTTAGTAAACTCTTGTTTTTCTTGGTAATGTTTTAAATTTCAAAGATGTTGGATTAGGGAATGCACCACACTTTACACTTTTCAGTATAATTGGAAAATCTCGTTTTTTTAAACGTGGGATTTTTGTGTAGACCTGTTGTCCTAGACACAGGGCAGTTCGTCAGTTGACGTTGTGCCCAGACTGTGGGCACCTCGGGGTGCCCCATGTGTAGGGTGTCAGAGAATGAACGGGATCCCCAGGGGCCGCCCCTGGGGGGGGCACATTCAGGCAAATGAGCGAATATTCACACGAACACTCGCTTACCTGGACTTATGGGGAAATAGGGCAGAGGCGGCCAGGGGACCACAGACATGGTGCCTGGGGGGTCCCTGGGAGGACTCTGGGGGGACTCGGTGCCTCTGAGGGGGACTTAGCACCTGGTGGGAGCTCAGTGCCCGGGGAGGGGTGGCTGGTTATTTTTAGACTGCACAAGTTGCGCAGCACGGGGCTGTGACCGGTGAGATGATGTTGGGGTCCTGCTGTGATTATGGCTCCGAGGGAGGCCGCGGCGGACCTGCGCCCAGTGGGCCACCGGTGCTGCGGCAGCGGGGCGCCCCGAAGGCGGCGGCTTCTGGAAGGGGGTGGGGTCCTTCGGTGTGTGGTGCCGCTGAGCCTGGAGGGCCGACCCGCCCCCCGCGCCCCCAGGGCTTCCCGACTCCGCCGCCATGCTGTCTTCACCCTCCAGCCCGCGGGAAGTGCCGGCGCGGCCAGTCGCTCCGCCTCGGGGCCGCAGCCCGTGCGTCCCGTCCCGCTCCCGGCGGCTCCGCCGCAGTCTCGGTTCCGGACCTGCAGGGCAGAAAAGGGAAACCCGAGCCGGTGCCCTTCGTGCCGGGAGCAGCAGCTTCGTGGGGAGCTGGCGGAGCGGGGGCGCGCGCAGGGAGGCGGGGCCCTGGCCGGGGCAGGGCGGGGCGGGCGGGGCGGGCGCGCGAGGGGAGCGGGGAGCGGGGCCCAGGCCCGGGCAGGGCGGCGCCGGGTAGCGGCGGCCACGCGGGCAGGGTCAGATCGCGCAGGGCCCCGGGCGCTGCGGGCGCGGGCCGGTGTGGGCCCCCCCCCGTACTGGGGTCCCCGCGCCCTCCTGCTGCACCCCTCTCCTCCCGGGGGAAGCAGCGGGCATCGGGGAGAGGACTGACGGACGGGCGGGCGGGCGGGGGAGGGGAGGAAGGGGCTGGCTTGGGGTCGCCCCGCCTCTGCACCCCGAGGGAACAGACGCGCACTCGCGCAGCCGCGACCTCCCCGTCCGGGTCCCGCGCCGCGGGATAGGGACGGCCTCCGCGTGGCGCGGCGAGTTCGGGCCGCTTCTCCTCGGCCCGGAGACCCCAGTCCCGGCGCGTGGCCGGGGGTGGGGGGCGAGGCATCCAGGAGGCGCCCTTGCCCGGGAACTACAACATCCAAGAAGGCGCCGCGCCCGCCGAGACTACCACTCCCAGAAGCCCGAGGCGGGCCGGGAGCGGGGCGTGTCCGCGGGGCGGGGCCTGGGGCGGGGCCCGCGCGAGGACCAGAGAGGCGGAGGCGCCGACCCGAGTCACACAGCGGCCCTCGGCGCCCTCCGCCCGACAGACGCGGCCCTCGCGCGCCCAGCTGCGCGTCCAGCCCTCGCCGGTCACCTCGCGGGCTTGGCCGATTCCCCACCGCTGGGACGAGCGATTTCCCCGCAAACGTCGGGGGCTCCCCAGTTCGAGCACGGGTGACGATGACAGACCCGCCCGCGCTCCGACGCCTGCAGCCCCGCACGCTTGGCTCGCCGCCAGCGGGACCCCGAGGGGGCAGAATAGGGGGGCGCCGGGGGTCTCCGGGGGAAGAAGCGCCCAGGGGTGCCCGGGAACCGTCTCGATGCGCAGCGAGCTCTCGCCCCGCCGCCCCCTCCTTCCCGCGCCCGCCGCGGGTCTGTCCTGGGGACGGGGCGGCGCCTTCAGGGACTGGCCCACGCGGGGAGCGCGGCGTCTGTGCCGAGAAGCTTCTTCCCCGGCGAGCCCCAGGGTCCCCGCGGGCCTCCACTGACGGGACGAGGCCACCGGCGGGCGGGGTCGCCCTCGAGACGGACTGACGGACACGAGCGCAGCCGCCGCCGCCGCCCAGACCGAGTCCACTAGTGGGACCGGAGCCTGAGCAAGTGCGCGGGACCCCCCAGGCTCAGGAGGCCGGGCAGGAGGGGCGAGGGGTGCAGGGAAGGTCCGCGGGCGCGCGCGGGCTCTCGGCACAGTCACCAGGTCATGTTGGGGCGCGGAGGCACC